GGATAAAAAAGTCAAAACCCACTGGTGTGCTGCATCCAGGAAACCCATCTCACATGCAAGAGTACACCTAGGCTCAAAATAAAGGGATGGAGGAAGATTTACCGAGCAAATGGAGAGCAAAAAAAAGCAGGAGTTGAGATTTGGGTGGGGGCACAGCCAAACCTTATCAGCTTCCTTTCCCAGGCCTCCCAGCTGCTTCCCTCCTAACCTTGTCATTTAAAAATACCCACCACCATGGGACACGGTGGCTCATACCTGTAATCCCAGCACTTTGGCAGGCAGAGGCAGGTGGATCACAAGGTTAAGAGTTCAAGACGAGACCAGCCAATATGGTGAAACCCCAACTCTTCTAAAAATACAAAAATTAGCTGGCCATGGTGGCAAGTGCCTGTAGTCCCAGCTACTTGGGACGCTGAGGTTGCAGTGAGGCCAGATCGCACCATTGCACTCCAGCCTGGGTGACAGAGTGAGATTCTGTCTCAAAAAAAAATCCACTGCCAGGTCTCATTGTCTCATTTCCTCCCACGTAATGGTGCATCCCTAACCCCCAGCTCGTCATCCTCCATGGATGAAAGTGAGCCCTTGCTAGTCCTCATGTGACTGAGAACTCTTAGCAGCATGCGGCACTGTGGACCTCCCTGGCTTCCAGGACCCAGCACTCCCCTGGTTCTCCTGCCTTCTCCCTTGCACATCATTTTGCTGCCTGCTTTCTTCTTCCTCCCCTGGCTCTCTCTTTAGAGAGCAGGCCTCCTCAGAATCTTTCCTCCCCTGCCTCTTACACACACTGCCTGCCTGATGGGACCTCCCCTCTGTGCTGTTCAGGCATCTGTCCCCTACTCTCCATTCCCCCCACCCAATTCTCTTTCTAGAATTTAAGCAACACCATCCTGGTGTTGGCATCACCTTCAGAATGTGAATCCAAGTCCCAGATCTTGGCGTGTAAGGTCGCTCTTGACTTGACCCCCTACCTACCCTTCAGTTCTCACTCCATTCATACTCTGTACCAGTGGCCTCCAGAGTAGAGACAGACAGTACACGGGTACAGGGAGGACTTACTAGAATCTCTATTCCTTAATTATTTTTACCTTTAAAAAAATGCAGAATTAAAATTTATCCACTGGGCATGGTGGCTCATGCCTGTAATTCCACCACTTTGGAAGGCCAAGGCGGGCAGATCATGAAGGCAGGAGATTGAGACCATCCTGGCTAATGTAGTGAAACCCCATTTCTACTAAAAATAAAAATTAGCAGGGTGTGGTGGCATGTGCCTGTAGTCCCAGCTACTCAGGAGGCTAAGGCAGAAGAATCACTTGAACCCGGGAGGCAGAGGCAGCAGTGAGCCGAGATCACACCACTGCATTCCACTCCAGCCTAGGCAACAGAGCGAGACTCCATCTCAAAAAAAAAAAAAAAAAAAAAAACCCTGAATATCTGCAATATAGGTTAACAATAGTACATGAATAAAATTTATCAAGAAATTAGTGAGGGCAGTTGTAGAGTCAGAATTGCCTGGAAACCACTGCACGGCCTCACCTCTGGTCCTGCTCTGTAAGACCTGCCATGCCCTGGCATGAGATGCTCTCACACACCTTAGGACCCAGTGCTTCCTCTGCTGTATCCGGGTGATGTTAGCTGTGAGCAATAGCATATCCAAACTTGTACTACAAAGAAGCTACACGTTGTCTTTCTCTCATGTAAACTCAGTCTGGAGGTAAGCAGCTCAGGGATGGTATGGCAGCTGTAAATCATCTGAGATCCAGACTCCTTGAACTTATTGACCTGCCCCTTTCAACCCATGGTTTCCAGCTCATGGCCCAGGATGGCTGCTTGAGCTCCGGCCATAACATCAGCATTCCAACCAACAGAAAGGGTGAAGAGAGACATGTCCCCCCACATACATTAAGGATTACCTCTGGTTATTACAGATAAAGAATGACATTAATGATTAAAAGTTTAATCCACTGGAAGATCACAACTCCAAATTTCTTTATACCCTATAAAATATCTGCCAAATATGTGAGGCAAAAGTTAACAGTATTAAATGATAAATTCACCATCATAGTGGGAGTCTGTAATATACCTTTTTCAATAGCCAACAGAACAAGTCAGTAAGGATATAGAAGATGTGAAAAGTACAATCAGCAAATTTGATCTAATTAACACAAAGAATTCTGTATCCTATAATGACAGAATTCTCATTCTTTTCAAATGCATGTGAAACATATCAAAAAATGGTGCTTCTAAAAAGTTGCCTATACCACTTCTTATATACCGTTTACTGGCCAGTGGTGAATCCTGGCTATACCTAGCAGTATAGGAGGACGAGCAATGTTGTCTGTTCCAGGTGATTAAGTAACTAAAATGGAGAGGTTCCATTCCTAAAGAAAAATGAGAGAACAGATATTAGGGGAATCAGCAGTCTCTGGCCCCTCCCCTTCCCCCTTTGCCCTGGCAGGCCTGGTCCTGTGAGTACTGCACAGTGGGTAAAAGCTTGAGCCCAGACGCAGAGATTATTTATTCACCTCAATTATTTGTCACTGACTTGCTGTGAGTTTGGATGAATCATTTAACCTGTCTAAACCTCAGTTATATTATGAAATGGGAATAACCCTATTTCATAGGGGTATTAGGAAGATGGACTAAAATAATGCTTGTAAAGCACTTAGTTCCAAACACAGTGTTCCATAAATATTAGCTACACAGAGAGGTTAAATAACTTGCCCAAGGTCCCACAGCCAGTAAAATGGCAAGGCTGGCTTTCAGATTCAGTCATCTGGCTGTAGGCTGGTGCTGACGCTTCTTTGGGGCCTCTGCCTCCCCCAGCACAGGACCCACCCATGGTGTTAGGGGAAAGCAGCACTGAACGGTGGGGAATAGGAACCTCAACTACAAATTAGCCATGTGACCTTAGAAAAGGCATTTTTAAATGTGCATCTTAAATATGTAAGTCTCCTCATTCTTTCTGCAGAAAAGTGAATTAAGGGAGCCCAAAGGTTTCCCCTGACCCTGACATTTTGTGGTTCTATCTTCCCTACCACCAGTGGCTGAAATGTTACCATTAGGATGGTTTCTTTTCCTTAAGCCCTGTCTTCTGCCTGAAGTTATTTTTTAAAAATACAGTTTTCCTTTAGAGGGCAGGGCCCTGACTCTGTGGTTTGAGTGAGTGAATCAGGCCCCTTTCCCACAAATAGAAGGTTCTGGGGCAGAAGTGCAGGGGTCCTGGCTGGAGGGAAGGGGTGTGCACAGCAAGAGAGACTGCAGCCCGGAGCTGCCAGACCCCACAAACTCTGCCTCTCGCTAAGGGCCTGCAGTGGCCCAGGACACCCTGCACCTGGCCTCTTGTCAGGACTGACTGCATAGTGACCATGAATCGCTCCAGTTAGATCCCCTGGTCCACCCCATCCACAGCCGTTTCTTACAGGCTTCCCTTTTTTCTCCTTCTATATATTTCTTCCACCATCCTACCTCGAAAACTAAATTGAAGAAAAGTGAGTTTTGTCTTTTTTTAAAACAAGAAAACTAACAGTCTTAAATTACCTTCTTCAAAGTCTGCAAATAGAAATCACAAATAAGTCAGCCACATGGTCTTTTCTCTCTTCCTGGCTCAGTGAGCCCATGAGCTTGAAATAAGAGGCAGAGCAATGGCTCAGGAAATAATTGGGGCATGGCCCAGCACCAGCCCAGGCAGCAACAACAGGATGAAAGGAAGGCCCAATTGGGGGGTTGGAAATAATGGAGGAAGAGATGGAAATGCTAAACTGCCCGGCCCAGCATGTGTGACTTCTCTGCAGGCTCAGCAGCCATGGTCCATTGTAAGACTGAACCGGACAGCTGGCTGAGCGTCTCCCTGAATAAGCATAAACCATGCCTTATTGCTTATGGTTCTGAAATAAAAGAGGTTCTCAAAATGGGGGTGATTTCTTAAAGAGCAACTACTCTGTGAGTGTGAGTATCCAGGTGCCCAGGGGCACATGTAGCTTAAGGAGAGGAGGAAACCACAAAGGCTTCAGACTTTCTGAGGTTAAGACTGAGAAGCAAACAGGATTACCAGGCACAGTAGGCCCTGCCTTCATCATCACCATTGATGTCATACTTCCCAGAGAGTCCATCAGGGGGCATCAGGACAAGAGACAGCATGGTGCTAGGGTAGAGATGGGAGCTTTAGGACTGGAGTCTTAGGCTCTAGCCCCAGTTCTATGACATGTAATAATAGCTAAGGTTGATTGAACACATACTTCATGCCAAGGACTATGCTAAACACTTCACATAGATTATTTCATTAATCTCCAAAACAACCCTATATGTGTCATTATCCCCATTTACAGATGAGAATGCTGAAGGATGGAGGTCATGTAACTTGCCCTACGTATCACACATCTTGTGACAGATCAGGGTGTGAACCCAGGGAGTCAGACTCCAGAAGCTCTTGTACTTCTTCCTGCCAAACCACCAGGAGTGGCTGGGCCTGCTTCCTCGTCTGGAAAGTCCAGCTGCAGCAGCCAGGTCGGGTGGCCTGGGTGATCACTGGGGCCCTTTCCAGCACAAGTGCTGTGCTCTGGGGCTCCTGCCACACCTGTGGATGCAGAGTCCTGTTCAAAGGCAGAGTGCAAGTTTCCTGTGCAAAGCAGTGATGCTGAACGTCTGTATGTGTCTGTGTGTGTGTAGAACAGGTACACTTGTGTCCTGCAACCCTGATGAGACTGGAAAAGAGATTAAGAACACAGTAAGACCCGTGCAAAGTCTGTGGGAGACTAGGTTAGATCTTGTCAAGAGGACAAAACTGACATCCAAAGGTCTGGAAGATTCCACCCCAATTCACCTCCATTTGGTATCCTTTGCAATTCCCTGATCTTTGCTCCCTGCTGCACACACATAGCCTCAAAGCCCCCGAGAGATAGGCTAATGAGCCCTTTGATGGGAGCCTTGCCAAGATGCTCTGGCTCCAGGAAGGACAAGGTGGTTCATGATTCCCTGGCCCAGCATGTGTGTCTTCTCTGCAGGCCCAGCAGCCATGGCCCACTTTAAGACTGAGCAGGATGACTGGCTGATCGTCTACCTGAAGTATTTACTCTTTGTCTTCAACTTCTTCTTCTGGGTGAGTGAATTCTGCACACACATATCCCCTTCCCCAGGCACTGAATGAGTCAATCCACCTTTTGTTTTTCGTGTCACCACTTTGAGGTTGATATCTTCCAAATCAAAAATCAACCATGGGTGAACTCTTCCCACTTTAAAGCAAATATGTACATTTGCTACTGAGAAGGAAGAAAAGAACTGGGTCTGCAGGTTGGCATGGAGCTTGTACCACATGGCATCTGAATAGATGCACAAACATAACAATAAGCTTTGTGTTCTAGCCCTGCTGTGCAAAGGGTCCAGTTCCTTCTTCCCCACTAACTTGTTGCTCCCATGCCTTTTGGAAAATGTGACTGCCTGAAATAATGACTGGAGTCCATTCACCTTTCATGGTTAACATTCTCCAGGCCCCAGGCAGAGAGAGTCCTGGGGGCTCCGACTGCCGCTTCCTGTGATGAAAATAATCTCTATGGTAACTCCCCTCAGGAGCCTGCCTGGGTGAGGTCTTCCAGAGGGGTGTAGTCCATCCACTTGAAGCAATCATCTGGGTAATTGGGAGCAGAATACCATCAGTTCCCACAAATAGACACTGAAATGTATATATTTGTTATTATAGTCTCACTAAATTTGAGAAGGTAGAAGAGCACCAAGAGTGCAGGCTTTGCAGGCAGCTGGACCCATGCATGCTCTGCTGACTATTAATGGTGCAGCCTGGGGCAACTTACTTAAGTTCAAGGAAACCATTTCCCCAGCTACAAGTCAATGATAATTTCTAGCCTGTTGGGGTTGCATTCAATAAATGCAGTATTTTGAATACATTAGATGTCAAATGCCTGAAAATGCCACCAAGTCAACCTATGGTAAGGCAGATCTGGGCTTCCTGCTTCCATGGTAAGGGAGAAGTCTTTCTGAGTCTTAGAAGCATCTCAGAAAGGCAAATGCAAAGGTGGAACATGCCTGAGTTTTCAGGGTCTTTCTTGCAGGGGCCTGCTTAGGATTGGAAAGGAACATAACATGAGAGTTTAGGATGGGTAGACACGGCAAGGCAAGAGTTTTGAAAAGTCTTGAAGAATAAACCAGTCAAGATGCTATCTATTAAAAAGTTGGGCAATCTGCTATTTGTTTAAATGTTTTTTGCAAAGTTCCTGAGAGGAATAATATAATAATTGGTCACTTATCTTCCTGGGCAAGAGTTTCCTGGAATAGTGAAGTCATGATGATGAAGATGGTGTGATAATAAAGCTGTGTTGATATGGACAGTAAACTGTGTGGTAGAGATGGTTTCCATTCTGAGACACAAATTCAGTAGGATGATTAGGAATCCTGCTAAGTAAGCATTTCTGTTTAAGAATATTTATTTCCTGGGGAGGATCTAAGATGGCCAAATAGGAACAGCTTCGAGTGCAGTTCCCAAGAAGAACAACACAGAGGGTGAGCACCCCACCACATTTCCAAACAAATTTTCACTGCCCACAAACCAGGAGATTCCCGGGCTGAAAACACCAGGAGTTTTCAGCACAGTGGTTTCAGCTGGTGCCAGGTTGGTGCACAGAAACACACACAAATCTGGGCAGCCATTTCAACTGGTGCCTGGAACACCTGGGAGACAGAGCCACCCATTCAACTGAAAGGAAGGGGGCAGAGAGAGGGAGCCAGCAATCTGGCTCAGCAGGTACCACCACCAAAAAACAAGCAATCTGAAATGTTCTGGATTGAGTTTTGCAGCAAGCACAGCTGGATGCAGGATGGTCCAGCTCAGTGGGGGGAAGGCAACCACCACTACCGAGGCAGTTCACACAGCAGCTGGGCAGAGCCTGCAGCAGCTCAGCAAATCCCTGCTGGCAGACTGTGACTAGACTACTCCATGTGGCACAGGGCATCTATGAAAAAAGGCAGCAGCATGACAGAAACTTATAAATAAAGCCAACCTTCCTAGGATAGAGCACCTGGGAAAAGAGGCAGTTATGAGTTCTGCTGTGGCAGACTTCAGAGTACCTGCCCAGCATCTCTCCATGGAACAACAGAGCTCACAGCTCAGCACTTGAGCTCCTATAAGGGACAGACTGTCTCCTCAAGCATCTCCCCAACCCCCATATACCCAAAGAGACACCTCATAAAGGAGAGCTTGGGCCAAAATCTGGCAGGGACCCTTCTGGGACAAAGACAGCAGAAGAAGAAACCAGCAGCCACCCTTACTGTTCTGTAGCCCTCGTGGGTGATCCTCAGGCAAGCAGGGTCTGGAGTGGAATTCCAGGAGTCCTGCAGCAGAAGAGCCTGACTGTTAGAAGGAAAACTAAAAAAAAACAGAAATAACTTCATCACACCCAAAACCAGAATACCTCTCCTTCTCTAAGGGATCACAACTTCTCACCAGCTAGGGATCAAGGATGGATGGAGAATGAATCTGATGAATTGACAGAAACAGGCTTCAGAAAGTGGATAATAACAGACTTCTCAGAGCTAAAATAACATGTGCCTAAACCAATGCAAAGAAACTAAGAACCTAGAAAAAAGGTTAGATGAGATGCTAACAAGAATAAACAGCTTAGAGAAGAATATAAATGACCTGATGGAGCTGAAAAATATAGCACAAGAACTTCACGAAGTATACACAAGTTTCAATAGCCAAATTGACCAAGCAGAAGAAAGGATATCAGAGATGGAAGATCAATTCAATGACATAAAACAAGAAGGCAGGAATAGAGAAAAAAGAGTGAAAAGAAATGAACAAAGCCTCCAAGAAATATGGGATTATGTGAAAAGACCTAATCTACGTTTGATAGGTGTACCTGAATGTGACAGAATGAATCCAAGCTGGAAAACACTCTTCAGGATATTATCCAGGAGAACTCCCCCAACCTAGCAAGGCAGGTCACCATTCAAGTCCAGGAAATACAAAGACCACCACAAAGATATTCCTCAAGAAGAGCAACCCCAAGGCACATAATCGTCAGATTCACCAGGGTTGAAATGAAGGAAAAAATGCAAAGGGCAGCCAGAGAGAAAGGTCAGGTTACCCACAGAGGGAAGCCCATCAGACTCACAGCAAGTCTCTCAATAGAAACCCTACACCAGAAGAGAGTGGGGGCCAGTATTCAACATCCTTAAAGAAAAGAACTTTCAATCTAGAATTACAGATCCAGCCAAACTAAGCTTCATAAGCAAAGGAGAAATATTTACGAACAAGCAATTGCTGAGAGATTTTGTCACCACCAGGCCTGCCTTATAAGAGCTCCTGAAAAAAGCACTAAACATAGAAAGGAACAACCAGTACCAGCCACTCCAAAAACATACCAAATGGTAAAAACCATCAACACAATGTCCTTCTGAAACTATTCCAAACAATCCTTCCCAAATCATTTTATGAGACCAACATCATTCTGATACCAAAACCCAGCAGAGACTCAACAAGAAAAGGAAACTTCAGGCCAATATCCATGATGAACATAGATGCAAAAATCTTCAATAAAATACTGGCAAACCAATTGCAACAGCACATCAAAAAGCTTATCCATCACGATCAAGTAGGCTTCATCCCTGGGATGCAAGGCTGGTTCAACATACGCAAGTCTATAAACATAATCCACCACATAACAGAACCAAAGACAAAAACCACATGATTATCTCAGTAGATGCAGAGAAGGCCTTTGACAAAATTCAACAGCCCTTTATGCTAAAAACTCTCAATAAACTAGGTATCAATGGAATGTATCTCAAAGTAATAAAAGCTATTTACAACAAACCCACAGCCAATATTATGCTGAATGAGCAAAAACTGGAAGCATTCCCTTTGAAATCTGGCAGTAGACAAGGATGTCCTCTTTCACCACTCCTATTCAATACGGTGTTGGAAGTTCTAGCCAGAGCAATCAGGCAAAAAAAAGAAATAAAGGGCATTCAGTTAGGAAAGGCGGAAGTCAAATTGTCTCTATTTGCAGACAACATGATTGTATATCTAGAAGACCCCATCATCTCAGCACAAAATCTCCTGAAACTGATAAGCAAATTCAGCACAGTCTCAGGACACAAAACCAACGTGCAGAAATCACAAGCATTCCTATACACCAATAACACTTAAAGAGAGCCAAATCAAGAATGAACTGCCATTCACAATTGCTACAAAGAGTATAAAATACCTAGGAATACAACTAACAAAGGATGTAAAGGACTCCTTGAAGGAGAACTACAAACCATTGCTATCCCCATCAAGCTACCTATGACTCTCTTCACAGAACTGGAAAAAACCACCTTAACCTTCATACGGAACCAAAAGAGCCTGCATTGCCAAGTCAATTCTAAGCAAAAAGAACAAAGCTGGAGGCATCATGCTACCTGACATCAAACTATACTACAAGGCTATGGTAATCAAAACAGCATGGTACTGATACCAAAACAGAGATATAGACCAATGGAACAGAACAGAGGCCTCAGAGGCAATGCCACACATCTGCAACCATCCAATCTTTGACAAACCTGACAAAAACAAGCAATGGGGAAAGGATTCCCTGTTTAATAAATGGTGTTGGGAAAACTGGCTAGCCATGTGCACAAAGCAGAAACTGGACCCCTTCCTGACACCTTACACTAAAATCAACTCCAGATGGATTAAAGACAAACATAAGACCTAACACCATAAAAACTCTAGAAGAAAACCTAGGCAAAACCATTCAGGACATAGGCATAGGCAAGGACTTCATGACCAAACACCAAAAGCATTGGCAACAAAAGCCAAAATAGACAAAAGAGATCTAATTAAACTCCAGAGCTTCTGCACAGCAAAAGAAACAATTGTTAGAGTGAACCAGCAACCAATAGAATGGGAAAAAAATTTGCAATCTACCCATCTGACAAAGGGCTAATATCCAGAATCTACAAAGAACTGAAACAGATTTCCAAGAAAAAAACAAACCCATTCAAAAGTGGGCAAAGGATATGAACAGACACTTTTTAAAGGAAGACACATATGAGGCCAAGAAACATATGAAAAAATGCTCATCATCACTGGTCATTAGAGAAATG